TCGGACTCTACTTGAAGCCACTAGGGAGTTTCCTCTCGGGAATCGGGAATTTCCACTCAATGAAATTTTAAGTAGCTCAAAAAATATCAATCATAAATCTCCAAGAGTGGAAGCTTATTTCTAGGACACTTAAAATTTAGGACAAATTAAATGAAAAATTTAGGATACTTTTTTTAGGATCTTTAATTTTAGGACAAATGACGAATTCAGTTTTAGGACAAATGATTTTAGGACAAACCCCCAAAATTGGAAATTGAGTAGCTTTCTCGGGTGTTTCTAAGGGAGTTTTCACTTATATGCTCAATATAAATGCGATTTTTAATTTCAATACTAAAACTCGTAATTTCCACCCGCAATTAAATTTGTGTGGAACCCCATTCACTCATTAGCTTCAGGGACCGTCAAATCATGTGTAGATGCTGCCCATTTCCTCCCCATACTACCCTGGCCCCACCTTTTGCCTCCATGTTATTCGCCAACTTCCATTTTTGCCAATTTCCACTAAGGAAACTTCTACCCCCCCCCCCCCCGTTGTTGGAGAATTGATTTTTTTTTAAATATACAGATAAATAATATATTTCCTATCGAGTAATATTTTTCCGCACCAGGGGTTGTTTGTATTTACAATCATTTTAAGCAAAACATATTCTGAATTTAATTCATTCAGCGAAATTAAATTTCAATGCTCATTTAAATTACATATTAAAAAAAATTATGAAATAAATAAAAGACTTTCATGACGCAATTTTCCGTTTGAAGAACGCATGCACAAACGGATTGACCCACATAAGAGCAAGTATGCGCTTATAGTTTTGTGACATTTCTGTCATATTTAATAGGCAGAACATGGATGCTGTCGACAAGCGTCGTTCGGTCGCGAGGTATTGTGTTTGCGGAGGAGACAAAGGCCATCTCGTAATATCAAGCTGATTAGAATGCAGCGCGTGCACTTTGCGCAGAGTGAATAAATCTCTGTTTCAGAGTGGAGCAGGCACTACACACAACTATACACGCCGACTTGAAGAACATGCAGAGAGAAGACGCTCGAGAATGAATATGCGCGTCCTTAATCTGAGTGACGCGCCGATCGAGATAACAATCGGCACAAGCGAGTAAATCAGCCGTAATGAGAGGGACGCAGAAATAAAGAAGAGAGACAAAATCTCCGCCCTGCGATCTTCTTTTATTCGCGAAATATGCAAATGGCACACAAAAAAGAGGACGAACATTTTATAATTAGCGCACACAATTCACCCGGTTGTAAATTTGTTTTGTTTATTGGTCACCGGCATTTGTCGCCCTAATGAATTGGAAAGACCCCGCTTCTTAATTGGCAATTAATTGCACGCACATAAATTTAAATCCGTGTCGATTTCTTGTCACTGGCGCTGCTCCAGATTAGATGGGTGCAAGATAACAATTTAATTTGCAATTAAACGGGCCCACAAGGAGTGGCCCCTGTCACTCGCTCAGGGATATCAAATAGCAATTTCATTCACGAAAAAAAAATCCTAACGGTCCAAAGTGAACAAAGAATATATATTAAATTTCGGTCCTTTGTGGGGAAATTCCACGCTTTATTTGTTGCCAAGGTTTCGCACAGACGGAGTGAAATTATATAAATTATATTTGTTCTGGTCTGCGCGCGAGTTCAATTGATGCGTATCTCGTGTCAGTCTGCGGCGAGAAGGTCCAGATGTGACGCGCCGGTTTAATTTTCCGCGCGTCATTTTGAGTGAGCCTCTCAGGTGTTGGTGTGGGCCCAATTACACACCTCGCCCGATACCATCTCCAAATCTCCGCGGCCACAATAATAATAATAATACTCACAATAAATCTGATTACAATCAGGACGCGTTGATTTTTCAAAATTAAAAAAGCGAGTGTCCTGCCGGCGCTCGGGCATGGGATGGGCGAGACCATTACGGTTATTGTTATGGCCGCACCAATTTGTCTCCAAATTAACGCTGTAGAGTCTGCAAGCTTTTATACTTTGGACCAACCCTTTATATATTTTCCACCAGACTTAGAGGGTCTCTTATCATCGCATTCCCATCTCGGCGTTACAACGTTTTACAACAAATTTCTGCCGCATAAGTTCCCTCTCGGATTTGTGGCCGCACTCTTTTCAATTATCTCGTTTCAGTGTTCAGCTTTTGATTTGAATAAACAACGCCCATCACAAACGCAGTGACCACATCAATCTTGTGTGGCATGTGAATTTCTTCCTTTGCCAGCAGAGCAAGTGGAAACCAACTAAAACTTGACAAGTTTGTCTACCTTAATTTTTATTCATCTTATACACATTAAAAACAATTTGAAGGTATTTTTCGATGCAGTCAACAATTTTTATATATTGCAGTTCAATGTGATGTAATAACGGCAGATAATTTTTTCTCGATGAAAAGCAAAACTGTCGATTAAATTTTAATCCAGAAAGGAAAACATCCCTGACATTCTAATTTAAAAAGAAGAATCAGTTCTTTTAGTGTTATTTTATTATTGATTATTTCTGGCGTAAAATTAATGTAAAAATTTATTTGGATGAGTTCATGTATGGGGCATAGTTGTCCTAAATTCGAACCCAATAAACATTTCTTGAACCTAAAACTAAAAAAGGTAAAATATTGGAAGTTTTGTTTGGGATTTCACCACAAAGTTCATTCTATATATCTTGGGTAGTGATTGCTTCTGTGGTTTATGAAAAATTAATAAATTATATAATTTACAACTAAATCAATTGGATCAATTGATATGTAAAAACTTCTGTTGTTTTACTGTCTATTTTGTACATAAAGCTTGAATACTATAAAAAAAATAAAGTTTTAATTTTACTATAAAATATTTAATATAATATATACAAAATTTTTATTTGGTTTTGATTTAAAATTTTTAAATAAAAATACCCAATATAGATAATGAATTGTTGTAAATAATTTTAACTTATTTTTATGATAATGCATAAAAAAAGATTTAAAAATATATAATATATATATAAATTTTATGGCTTAATAAGGTATTGTACATTTTAATAGCTATTAATATGTTTTATAGTGTACTTGGCCACAGTTTGTATGAATATCATTAAATGCAATCATTTTGAATTATAAAAAAAATAATCATGTGAATTAAAATAACTATAATGATAAAGGTAAAATTGTAACTTCTTTCACGAAAGAGTGGAGAGACTGTGGGGCTCTCTAATTTTTTACTCTTTTATGAGCCCAAAGAGTAGAAACTAAAAACCATTTTCAGACTGAGCGTAATAAATCACGAGAGGAATCAAACGATCAGGCGGCAAAACAACGCACGCGTCCGAAGCCATAGCAATTTTCAATTATTGCCCGCCGCTCGGTCGGTCGGTCTTTCTCTGGACGTCTGCAGAGATGATCTCGAGCGATTCGTCTCCAAATTAGAGTGAAAAGGCGTGTGCACCGCTGGTGTTGCACACCCAAAGTGACTGACTCACCTGCTCGACGCGCACACCGTATAATTATATCAAAACGGCGTGTTTATTTGGTGCGAGAAAAGGTAAATATATTCCTCCTGCTGCGAGAGAGAAAAAGATGCTATCTGTCCCAGTCTCTCTCTTTTGTGCGGCTGCTCCCAAATTTCTGGGGCCCGGCCCCAGGCCTGCCAGCCAGGCTACCGGCGTGGGTGCCAATTATTATTTTATTGTCCGATTCAATTGCCGCAGATAAACGCTAGGAAAATATGGCACGCAATAAAGCACAGCTAGCTATCTGCCATCAGCAAACAGGCCACAAATACGTGTGGAAAGAGAGATGCACGCCAATTACGCTGGCCCCTGATCAATCAATTCCTCAGCCCGCCACCTTTTATCACACATCGGCCTTCCTGAAACGTTTTGGTGAATTACAAACTTGGTCAGATCGCTTAATGTTGGATCCAGGGTTTCTGAGCATGAGCTGCTCGCGAGCAAGATTGAGCAAAATTTTGCTCGCGAGCATCATTGAGCACTCTATAAGGGAGCATGCTCGCGAGCATTTTCTCGGGAGCATCCCAAATGGGAGCATGCTCGCGAGCAGACGTAGGTGAGCACCACTCGGGTGAGCAAGAGCAGGAGCAGAAATTAGGGAGCACTCTAAGAGTGAGCAGGAGCAGGAGCAGAAATAAAGGAGCACTCTACGAGTGAGCAGGAGCAGGAGCAATAATATTTAAAGTTGCTCCCGGTGCTCCATCTGCTCTCATTTGCTTGAAATTTACACTGCAGGGTAGCAGAATAACATACTAATATAAGGTGCAGCGGATGGCAGTATTGCTCCGCCTACAACCTCTGTACCAAAAGAAAAGTGACATTTCTTGCTTGGCGTTTTTCTCGCTTTTGTGATCGACAGCGCGCGCACTTCAATTTCCAGTGGCCATGATTATTCTTATTAATGAACTTTAATGAACAAACAAAAATTTAATTTCAAAAGTTTTCTGAAACCTAAATTTTCTCAATTAAATAATTATATCTCAATCTCTGCTTTAAAAATATTTATAACAGCGCATTTTATATAATAATTTTAACCCACAAAATATTTTGGTAATAAAAAAAAAATTTGGAATTCAATCTTGTGATGAATATGAATTATTTGTTTATAAAAAAATCATTTTCAAAAATCTTGTTTCATTAGTGAGTTTCTTTAAAATACATTTTCATTTAACAATAACATAAATACGCATATATAATAATATAAAATATTTTTTTTCAGTGCATGAAAATTCAATTATCATTTGAGTATTTGGATTTTTTTCTTGCTGAAAGTAAAAAAAATAAATTCAATTTTTTTATGAAGTGCTTTTTTCCCAACAGATTATAAGAATTCAAGGAATGAATAAAAAATTAAAATACAAAATTTGCCTTTTTAGAATCTTTATTAATACCAAAATGTTTTCCATATTATACAATACACACTTTCCTTAATTGTCTAATTTGATATTATTTAGAAAGTTTCCTTATGAAATCAAGATTACAAAATTTCAATAACAATTTGTCACTCTGTTTCCTGGCGTTTGTACAACGTGTTTGCCCTTACAACCATGATGTCATCTACAGTTTCAGAATTCATTCTGTTTCTCAATGGATTTATTATAAATTTTAAACCAGAAAAGAGCCTCTCAACGCTAACCTGCGTTGGTGGTGCTCCTAAAACAATCATTGCAACGTCAAATAAGTGAGGATATTTGCTTTGGTTTTCGCACCAAAAGTTAATAATGTTAATGGACCTATCCCTTATTCTCGGTTGATTTGCAAATTCCCTTATCTCAGTTTCCATTTGAACTGGATTAAACGTTTGCAAATTACCATTGCTAGACTGAGCAAAGGGTGAATTTTTTTGTTTTCTTTTTTCTATTTCACGCAAATGTGCCTCAAATGGATCATTATCAAATGGCTCATCCTCGTCAGAGCATTCATCAGCGTTAATTTCTTGCAGTTGTTCACCACTCTCTTTGCTTGCAATGGCGTGCATTTTTGTACCTAAACAAATTAGATGCTCTTGAGCTATTTTAATTTGCTCTCTGTCCAAAAGAACTTGCACGCGAGGGTCAAGGTACACTGCCGCTAGAATGGCTTGATTATTTTCAAAACACTCCTCACGCATTTTCATGTGTTTTTCCAAAATGCTTGAAAAATTTGTGTTTGCTTCGGACACTCTAGTGAGGCATTCTTTCCATATAACAAACATATCACTTAATGTTAACTGTTCAGCTTGCAATTTTAATGTTGCGACTTTTGGATGCTTTAGAACTTCCACAAGTTTTTCGATCAACGCAAATTCATCGTCACTTAACAAAAAATCAGAATCCAACCACAAGATACACTTATTAGAGCTGCAAAATGCTTTGAATTTTAAACATGATTCAAGCATGTCATAGGTAGAGCACCACCTTGTAGGGACATCAAGTACAGGTGCTGTTAATCTCTCATCACTGGCTAAATTATAGTCGCTAATCATCTTTTGGCCTCTCGGAGTCCGAAGTTTTTTTATTAACTCTCTCACTCTACTCAGTACTTCTCGGTCAGAATCATCTTGTTCTCTCATCATTTCCTTCATTGCACCTTCAATTGCAAGTTGCAAAGTATGAGCCATACATCTTATTTCATGGACACCCAATTTCACATCATCGCATATAACGTACAAAGAACCTAGCATCTCCATAACACCTTGAACACTACTCTCGGTATTGGATTCAAATTGATCATTATTTGTAATTTTTTCTTGTGTCATATCCTCAAATATCATATCAACGGCCTCCTGGTCAATAATTTTTCCAGCTCTGACCATATTCCTACCATTGTCATAGGTACACGAATAAATTTGATCTAGCGTCAGATCATACAAAACCAACAATTTAGCAAGTTCGTCGTAGATATACTGAGCAGTGTGTTGTTCGAGCAGTACAATACAACCTAAAGTGCGGATAACAATTTTTTTCCCAACCACCCTTTGAATGTTTACTCCCAAATATCCTCTATCTAGTCTTGTTACAGCGTCCATTTTTAAAGAAAACATTTTCTTCTTGAACAAACTTTTTGTTTCTTCCCTGACTTTTGAAGCTTGCTCTCTAATGAGTTGAGGCAAAGATTCAGGAGTTAAATTGAATTTTTCTGGCATCGCCTCTAAAATTGGATTTAAAATTTTTTTCATTCCCGAATCTTTCAAGATTGTAAATGGCCTTCCATTAACTGTGCACAATTCAATTGCTGCTTCAAGAAGTTTGTTTTTAGTTAATTTCACTTCTTGCAAAGATACATAATTACTGATTAGTCTCTTTTTGCAAACCCCATTTGGTTTCCTTTTTAAGCTGCCTTTTCTTGAGGTATTACTGGGAGGTGAAATCGGTGTACGTAATTAGAGAAGTATCTTCGTCTTCCAATGCGACAACGTCTGATTGCGATTCATTCGAAAATGAAGAAGTAGAAGCAGCCGTACTTTGGTCACCTAAAAAAAAAAAAAAAAAAAAAAAATTGAAATCACTGGAAAAATTAATAATTACTTTGTATTCTATTTAAAAATTAAGAAAGTACAGAATTTCAATTTAAAACTAATGAGGACAAAATAAAATAATATCAAAATGATAAATTTATTATATGAATATTTTAATGAAGTCATCTTTGTTAATAAATCAATTGTTATTTTTAAATTTTTTAAATACATTCTAATATTTTAATAATTACATTATTAATAATGTAATATTTTTGTCAAGTCATCTAACAATAACATATAAAGCCTAGATTCAAAGGAAATTTATTGGGTTCGTAATTAAGACAACTTTGCCCAATACATGAACTCATTAAAATTAAATACAAGGAAAAAAACCTTTATTCTGAGCTGGAATCTCAAAAGGAGATTTTCTCGTTGGTGTCTGTTTCTCTGCCGCAGCTTTAACCAGCTCACTATAAAACTTTTTATGGCAGCATTTCAAGTGGCGTCTCATGTTGAATGAGCGTCCTTCCTAAAACAAAATAATAATAATTATTAGCAAAACATATTTTTTTGTCGAATTGTAGAAAATACAAAATATAATTAAATATTTGAGACTGGAGGCGTGTAATTCAATTTTAAAATGTAATATTGCGAAATACGCAAGATTCGTTTTCAAGACAGATTTGTATAATAATTTGATAATTTAAATTTAGATTTTGATAGGATTCATGTTAATTATGAATTAAAAAAACTTTTTCTGTTCGAGTGGTTTATTATTTCACAGAAAAGAAAATAATAATCATCTACTAAGTGTTTCACGAGTTTTGGAATTATAAATGACAAAAATAGCATGAATTAGTTTGCCCATGTTTCACCGTTTATGAAAAATTAATTTTATTAACAATCTACTCCTGACCTACTCTATTACAGTTCCATATTATAATAAATTATTTTAAACAGTTAAAAAGAAAATTAAAATTGATTAACAGTGTTACAAATTAGAAATTTTTTAGCTCCAAAAATTATTTTTTTATTTTTTTAAAAATGCTTGAAAGATTAATTCCTGAAATAAGTTTAAAAAATGGTTTAAGCCACAGCACGAATGCAAAACACGTAGAACAGAAGGTTTTTTATGAAGGAATAAACAACTTGAAAAACATAATTATAGAAGAAAGTCTTTTGAAAATCAAATGTAAAAAATTAAAATTAAATGACAATTTAAATTTAACTGTAATCAAAATATTTTAATACCCTTTGTTAATATAGCCAGCGAATGAATAATATCAAATTTTAATAAAGTTACATAATTCGCATTTCACAGGGTACTTTCGTCGTATACAAAAAAATTGGCACTCATAGATTTTCTAAGTTCTAAGCAAAAAATTAATCACGCCCTCCAGGCCCTCTCATGCGTCTAATTAATGCGCCCTCGCTGCATGAGGTGATGCGCATTATTTTGCTTGCAACACATTAAGGCTCTCATAAGAGCATAAGAGGCTTCCTAGTCACATAAAACAAGTTTCTGAACATCACAAATTCCCACAAAATTCACCCTTTGCATTCTATGGAAAAGAAAGACACCTCCCCCTAATCCTATTTTATGCTTCAATGGGTATACATGCACTATATACCCAATGTCTGTCTGTTTGCCTCAAAAATGGCTACTTTGTCAAAAAAAGTAAGCTGCACAGCATGTATTCAATTCTTGTTGACATGAAACTTCAATAGAAATATAGTTTTACCAGGAAATGTCTTGACCACAACAAGGGTCTCTGGCTAGAGACTCTCTGCAAACAAGACCCCCTGCATATTAAAGCTTTCTAAAATTGACAAGTAGGTTGTCTGTTGAGGGTTATTGACCGAAATCAGCGACAAGTAAATAATGCGTCTGGCGCCGGATGCCTGGCACATTTTTAATCCGAGAAAATTTACCCGCCAAATTTTTCCGCGGTCCTGTATGTACTTCTCGCGCTTTCCCACATAACACAAATTTATCAAATTGAAAAAGGCGCGTTTTATTCATTTTGGAGTGATTCTTTTTATTCAAATTTATAATCCTTTTATCAATTTGAAATTCGGTAAATTCAAATCTGCATAATTTACAACAACAAAAAATTTAAATTGTCGATTTTTTGCATAATGATTTTAATTTTAATTAGAAAAATTTAAAATGCAGCATTAGATAAAAATTTCATATAATTTTCAAAATTTTATTTCGACATTCGACACTGATTTTCTAAATTCTACGCAATTAGGCAAAGCCATAATGTGCATGGCGCGCTATAACTTTTGCACATCTTTAGTGGCGGAGCTCAATTCGCACAACCGCGTGTAAGTGAAACGATTTGCATCTTCCAATTATTTAAAACAAATTTATGAACAGCAAACTTTTGAATGGAAATTCAATTTTGATTTTTTATTAGAAAATAAATGGAATTGATTGGAATTTTTAATTCAAATATTATTGAAAAAGATCGCCTTTAGATTACCAGAAAATTCAAAATATAAGAACCAGAAGCAACCAGAAAATAATTCATTGATTAGATTTGCAAATTTATTTAAATCTCGATAGGATATTAAAAAAAACTTACCGATATTGTTGTTTTGCAGTATGCTGTTCCACCTTCTTTCTTCAAATTGCATTCAAATTTTTCGCCGACTTTCTTCATGAACTGACGTATCTCTGGATGTGCCATTTTTACACAAAAATTGCACAAATTTAGCTAGGGGACGCTTGACCAGCGTGCACCAAGCAAGAGTGCAACCTGTGAAGCTGCTTGAACTTCTGCACTTGCTGCAGCTCTTTCTTTTCTTTCATCACCTTTGCCCCCACCCTGTTGGAAAAATGTGTGATTTATGTCCAAAGATGGCACGCGACTCGCCCCTATTTTTTCCTCCCACATGCTTTGCTCTTAGATGGAGAGTAAGCTCCTTCACATTATGTGCTCCTGGCAAACCTACAACCTGCAAAGGGCTTTCCTCTTTCTCTATATGAAGACAGAGATACAATGTCCTACTTGTTATGTGCTCCTGGCAAACGTTTCACCCTGAAGCATATAAATTTAAAAGAGAAATAATATTTCAGTTGAGTTATAATTTATTTTTATAAAAATATAATTTAATTATCATCTAATAACATAATTTAAAGAGTTTAATTTATTCATAAGGTAATTATTGTGTGTTTGACTTATAATATGTTATTTATAGCATATCTAAGGATTGATTTGAGAAAATTTTCCACAAAAAGTAGCCTTGCTATTGGTATAATAGCTCAGAGTGAGCACCAAGTGATTGAGCATGCTCGCGAGCAATTCACAAGGGAGCAGGAGCATGCTCGCGAGCATGCTCGGGAGCAATCCAATTTGGAGCATGCTCGCGAGCATACACTCGCGAGCACCTTTCGATGGGAGCGTGCTCGCGAGCAGACGTAGGTGAGCACCATGGGGGTGAGCAGGAGCAGGAGCAGAAATTAGGGAGCACTCTAAGAGTGAGCAGGAGCTGGAGCAATTTTTGAGGAGCAGCAAAAAATTTTAATGCTCCGAAACCCTGGTTGGATCAAATGAGTTTCAACCAGAAAAGAGTAAGAGTAAATTTGATAAATTACTCATTTTTCAAGTTTAAATTTGTGTTGTTAAGTGAGAAACAGTTGGCAATAATATAAAAGAACAATTATAAGGGCACTTTTGTTGGACATTTAGTGAATACGCTTACATTAAATATTTGTATTTGAATTGCATTATAAATTCATCTGAAACAATTTAATGTGATTTGAAATAATGATTCCATACGCAGGACGCCACATCAGAATTAAACATTTTTGATTATACAATAAGATTTTATGCTCTAATTGTATTCAGAAAATTTATCAAATAATTAAAATAGAAATTATCTTTAAAAAATAACTTTCTAAAAGAAAGGATATTTCTTAGAAACCAGGAAATAAATAAATGTTTAAAGTAATTAAAATAATAAATTTAAATGTAAAGTATGATAATGTATAATTTATTTGAGTAAATTAGAAAAACTACAAATTAATTAAACGCGAAATTTAATTAATTATTTTATTTTGCTTCATTAGTTATAAGTAATAATACTGTTTACTGTTGGTTATAAAACCTTCCCTAATTTAGGGGTGAGCAACGTGTCGGGCAGCTCTGCTCTGCCGGTTGCATACTTTTCTTGCAGGAAGGGGTTCTGCTGCTCTCTATTGCGTGTGTTAAAGCGTCGAGAGAGGCGAGACGTTGGGAAATGTTTTAATTGCCGGTCGCACGACGGCACTGGACGATTGCTGTCGAGGCCGTTTGGAGGCCGGAGGTGGGCGGCCAGTGGCGCGGAACCTCGGTGGCTGCGTTCATGTCTCCTCGATGGCCATTATCACTCTTCCTGGCCGGGGCTCAATTAATTCGCGGCGGCTCGCGTGGGCGACGCAGAGTGAATGGCACTCATTCAGATTGAATTTTACTGCCGCCGCGCGAATTATTACTCATTTTATTATTCGCTCTTTGTGTTCAAGTGGCGCGTGGGTTTCTCTTGACGAGCTAAAGAAAAAAAAAATCAAATCCTCAGAAAATCTCGATCTTATCACTCTGTCGACCGAGAAGGGATATTTATATCAAATTTAAACGCAAAAATTGTTACGCCAAATTTATCGATCGGCCCCAAGGTGCGGCTGATCAAACGGAGGCCCTGCTCATGATAACGTGAAAAATGTGGCGCTGACCACGCATTGTTTGAGCAGCTCGAAGCTTAATGGCCGCCTTTTAATGAATTAGTCCGCCAATTAAGCAACCTCTTGTTCCAAAATCACGCACGCTTGCAGAATGAATAATTCCAAGGAGAATTCAAGTGCGGAAGATACGGACCTGCCCGTGCTTGTATTGTTAACAATTCCTGTTCACCTTCGTCTAAAACTGATGCAA